CTTAAAAATTTTTAATTTACTTTTTAAAATTGAAGTATAGTTAAAAAAGAATATAAATAAAAACAAAAAATTTAAAAAATTGAAGTATAGTTGATTTACTATATTAGTTTCAGGTGTACAACATATTGATTCAATATTTTTATAGATTATACTCCATTTAAAGTTATTACAAAATAATCTATATTTCCCTGTGTTGTACCCTTATGGCTTATTTCTTTCTTTCTTTTTTTTTTTTTTTTGTGGTACACGGGCCTCTCACTGTTGTGGCCTCTCCCATTGCAGAGCACAGGCTCCCGACGCGCAGGCTCAGCGGCCATGGCTCACGGGCCCAGCCGCTCCGGGGCATGTGGGATCCTCCCGGACCGGGGCACGAACCCGTGTCCCCTGCATCGGCAGGCGGACTCTCAACCACTGCGCCACCAGGGAAGCCCAGTTTATTTCTTTATAGCATATTTATTTTATACATAGTAGTGTGTACCTCTTAATCCCATACCCCTATCCTGCCCCTCCTACTTTCCCTCTCCCCACTGGTAACCACTAGCTTGTTCTCTATATCTATGAATTTGTTTCTGTATTGTTATACTCATCCGTCTATTTTATTTTTTAGATTCCACATATAAGTGATAACAAACAGTATTTGTCTTTCTCTCTCTGACTTACTTCACTAAGCATAATACCCTCTAGGTCTATCCACATTGTTGCAAATGATGCCCAATAAATACTTGTAAAAGAAGAAAGAGGGGAAGGAACAAGGAAGAAAGACAGAATTGAAAATATTGTAAAGTTCTCTGGGTACTTGAGGGATGTGATGTTCTTTAAGACATGTGCCCTCCCCCTCGATTTTTGAGGGGAGACCACTTTGCAGGATGGGAGTTTTTAAGCAGCCCAGGAAGCCAGCACTGCTGGTCCAGTTCTCTCTGGTTGTGCTCTTGGAGGACTCATCCACCTTGCAGACACCTTCTATTTGCATTTATCTGTCCAGTAACTGGTTATTTCCATACAAGGAGCTGAGCAACAGCTGCCTTTCCATCCCACTTGACTCTGACAGATGACATAGCCCAGGGCTGCAGAGCAAAAAGTGAGCGGGGACCACTGGCTGGGGCAGGGCACACTCAGGGCTGCAGGCAAAGCAGGTAGGCTCGGTGGCTTCCTCTGCCTTCTGTGCTGGGAGCAGTGTCAGCCCTCAGGGACCCCTATGAGAATACTGTCCCTGTGAGGATAGTGATGACCTGTACTCTAAAGGGTTGTTGTGAAGGTTTAACACAAGAGAACTGCTAAAAAACATCTCTTTCAATTGCAAAGCATTGTGTGAATGGGACTCTTGTGGGGACTGGGAAAATGAGACTAAGGAGGAGAAATGAGGCTTGGTGAAGGTCACTAGCTAAGCTGGCTGGAAGAAGCACTCTTTCTCCTGTAATCTAAAAAGTGGTTTTAAGTGGGAGAGAGGATAAATTGGGAATTTAGGATTAACAGACACACACTACTATATATAAAACAGATGAACAACAAGGACCTACTATATAGCACAGGGAACTATATTCAATATCTTGTAATAACCTATAATGGTAAGGAATCTGAAAAAGAATATATATTATATATATGTATGTATAACTGAATCACTTTGCTCTATACCTGAAACGTTGTAAATCAACTATACTTCAATAAAATAAATAAATTAAAAAGTGGTCTTAGAACTTTAATTGACGTATAGTTGATGCATGATATTATATGTTACAGGTGTACGATATAATGAGTCACAATTTTCTAAGGTTATACTCCATTTTTAGTTATGATAAAATATTGGAAAAAAAAATATTGGCTATATTCCCTGGGTTGTACAATATATCCTTGTAGCTTATTTTATACCTAATAGTTTGTATCTCTTACTCCCCTACCCTTATATTGCCCCTTCCCCCTTCCCTCTCCACACTGGTAACCACTAGTTTGTCCTCTATATCTGTGATCTGCTTCTTTTTTGTTATATTCACTAGTTGGTTGTGTTTTTTATTTATTTATTTATTTATTTATTTATTGCGGTACGTGGGCCTCTCACTGTTGTGGCCTCTCCCGTTGCGGAGCACAGGCTCCGGACGCGCAGGCTCAGCGGCCATGGCTCACGGGCCCAGCCGCTCCGCGGCACGTGGGATCCTCCCGGATCGGGGCACGAACCCGCATCCCCCATGTCGGCAGACGGACTCTCAACCACTGCGCCACCAGGGAAGCCCGGTTGTGTTTTTTTAGATTCCACACATAAGTGATATCATATAGTATTTGCCTTTCTCTGTCTTATTTCACTTATCACTTCCCTCTAAGACATCACATCTTTTAGATGCTCTCATGGTGGGGAAGTAAAGAAGGGGTGGTATTTCTATCATGGAAGTACCCTTGGCCCCCTACCTATAGGTTCTCTTCCAGTTGGGAAGTCGTCCTCTGTGGCGGCTGCCTCGGAATTAGTGGGTGCTGGAGGAGAGCAGGTGCTCAGAGATCACCTGGCCCAAACTCTGACACCTACTGAGGACTTGTTCTGTGCCAGGCTCTTAGCTGCTACTTTACACGTTGTTTCATTTAATCCTCGAATCACTCTGAGAGTGGGAGAAGTTTGAAACTTCTTTGTAATTTTCTTCTTGCTTGAGTTTTTTAAGATACCAAGTATGTTTCATTAAAAAATAATAGTTGGACTTCCCTGGTGGTGCAGTGGTTAAGAGTCGACCTGCCAGTGCAGGGGATGTGGGTTCGATCCCCGGTCCGGGAAGATCCCACATGCGGCAGAGCAACTAAGCCCGTGCGCCACAACTACTGAGCCTGTGCTCTAGAGCCCGTGAGCTCACGTGCTTAGAGCCCATGCTCCACAACAAGAGAAGCCACCGCAGCGAGAAGCCCACACACCGCAACAGAGTAGCCCCCGCTCGCCGCAACAAGAGAAAGCCTGGGTGCAGCAACGAAGACCCAGCGCAGCCAAAAATAAATAAATAATTTTAAAAATTTTAAAAAGGTATAGTCATTTGTCTAAATGATATCAAGATCTAAGTGTTGCCATTCTCATTTTTCACATAAGAAAACGAAGGCTCAGAGAGGTTAGGGTACTTACTTGAGGTCACACAGTCAGTAGATACTGGAATCAGGGTCTGAACTCAACTCTGACCTACTCCAGGTCTGACTTTCTGCAATACCCATCCCACCACCAACAAAAAGAGATGGAGACCAGAAAGACAAGCTTTTTTTTTTTTTTTTTAAACTTCCCCTTCCCGCCTACCTGATACTTCCATACATACTGCCCCCCTCCCGCCCCCCACGAAAGGGAGGAATTTAGGTTATCTCTCATATCTACATTCATGCTACTTAAAGCTGCAGCATCAGTATCACCTGGGAGCTTGTTAGAAATGCAGAATCTCAGGCCCCACCCCAGACCTGCTGAATTAGAACCACATGATCTCTGAAGATGTGCACACACACTAAAGTTTGAGGAACCCCTCTCTGCATCAGACCCACCCTCTTCCTTCTTCCTAGTTCCAGCCTCGTGGCCAAGCCTTAATGGTAGGTGGGGTGATGGAGAGAAAGGTCAGCCTCATCTCAAGGAGGTCTAAATTAGGAGATAGCTCATAATACTTCCTGGATTTCACCAGCTTTTAAAAATTGACTCTAAGTCCTAAAAAAATTGTGGAATGAGATTTAAACAGGTGTGTGAGCCTGTAGAAAATAATTTGGTGGTTAACCTTTGGAACCCACTGTGTGTTCACTAGGAGAAAAATCATTTCAGATTGATCACGTTTTCTTTTCATGAAAAGTAATTAAACGTTTATTACAGCAAAGTGATTGTAAAGACTCTCATGAGACAATATGAAGGTGAGATATTATTGAACTGATAGTTGCATTGAGTCAAGCCTCATAAGGGATTATATGCATGACTGTAAAGGTCTCTCCATCACCCAGACTGGGGTGAAATCTATACTGCAGCATCTTGGGGCTCTGTCCCCAGCCTTCTCCTGGTCAAAGCAGCAGTAGTGGCATAATTATGATGCGCTGCGGATTCTGTGCAACTGTAAGTATGTCAGGGTAGTTCTACTCTTCCTCTCTCGTTGGGAAAGCTTAAGGGAATGCAAGGGAGAGAGGAAGACATTATTATGGGAATAACCTTTCATCTACTGTAAGTTATAAATAAGCACTAACCTTTTATGCCCTTGAGTACTTCATGACTAGTAACAAATTACTAGCATCACACCTCACAGCAGATGGGGACACAGCAGTTTGTGGAGTTGGCCACCCATCACTTCCACTCTCTCTCTGAGCCAGGAGAATACATCAGATAACATCTGTGACATCAGTAACCTTGTCCATCTTTACTCCTGCAAAACACGCAGAACTATGACATACATCATAACGTGTAGACTTCATTTTGTGTAAAACATGCCATGTTTCATGTCCCATCATATCGTAAGTAGTTACAATATCTTTATTCTTTGGGGAAAGGGACATTCCATTTCAACAATGAGAAGGATATGTCGCACAGTATGCCCTCTCCCGGGCCACGGTGCCAATGACAAGTGACTTTTGGTAAGAGGATTGGGAGGAATTTCCAGCCACTCCCTTGACTTAGAGGAGACTTCCTTGGTTCCTCCGTTGTGATCCAGGAATATCCTGTGGCCCCCCTATTTTAGTGGGTGCTCATGCTGCATGGTGATCTCAAGTTCAAGTGTTCATCCAGCAACTTGTGGTATTCCCGGTGGCTAACGCATAAAGGTTGTAACTCTACGACCTCTTGCTGAATTAAATTGAAGGGCTTATATGAAGAGCACAGTAGAGTTCCCTACATTGGTTTCACTGAAAAATATCTGCCAGAAGCGTAGCTACAGCTAGAGGGGATCTTTGGAAACCCAAGCCCCTTATTTTGAAAAATGAGAATCTGAAGCTTAGAAAGACAAGGACAGCCAGCACCCGAACCCCAGTCCCCCAAAAGCCAGTGTGGTGTCCCCCAATCACAGGTTTTCTCCCTCCATTTCCAGCCTTGTGAACGTTGTGTGCCACACTTGCTTCAAGAGGCAGGAGAAGCTCCACCGCTGCGGGCAGTGCAAGTTTGCCCATTACTGTGACCGCACCTGCCAGAAGGATGCTTGGCAGAACCACAAGAACGAGTGTTCGGCCATCAAGAGATACGGGAAGGTGCCCAATGAGAACATCAGGTCAGAGCTGGGCCCCGGGGTGGAGACTGGGATTCCCAAATGTCAGGCGGGGGATGGCGGCAGGGACAGTATGCCCAGGTCCAAGCAAGCTGGGATGAGTGCAAATCAGGAAAGAGTCCCAAAGAGACAGGATATGGTCCCTTCTTCCGTGCTCTCCCTTGGTCTGGGAAGCCCATCTATGAGGGGCTCTCCACTGGTGGAGCTGGTTGCAGACTTGTTCCGTGCGGCTCCCCAGTGTTTAATTTTTTTAAAAAATTTTATTTTATTTGTTTATTTATTTTTGGCCGTGTTGGATCTTCGTTGCTGTGTGCGAGCTTTCCCTAGTCGCGGCGAGCGGGGGCTACTCTTGGCTGCCGTGCGCAGGCTTCTCATTGCAGTGGCTTCTCTCATTGCGGAGAACAGGCTCTAGGCTCACGGGCTTCAGTAGTTGTGGCTCGTGGGCTCAGCAGTTGTGGCTCGTGGACTCTAGAGCGCAGGCTCAGTAGTTGTGGCGCACGGGCTTAGTTGCTCCTCAGCATGTGGGATCTTCCCGGACCAGGGCTCGAACCCGTGTCCCCTGCATTGGCAGGCAGATTCTCAACCACTGCACCACCAGGGAAGCCCCCCAATGTTTACTTTTTAAAAATTGATCTGCCTGTGTCAAAAAATTAATGAGTGGCAGAGAGTCACCAAAGTGTCCCTTGGTCACAGGCTTTATCTTGTGGGCATGGGCTGCCTAATGGTTAACAAGTGGGCCTTCTCTGCCCTCAGAGTGAAGTAAGGCCCTCTGTCTCATACTCAAAGTTCTGTACTTTCTATGCTGTATAGCACGGGGAGATCAGCTTTGTGACGACCTAAAGGGGTGGAATGGGGAGGGTGGGAGGGAAGCCCAAGAGGGAGGGGATATAGGTATACATACAGCTGATTCACTTTGTTGTACAGCAGAAACTAACACAACATTGTAAAGCAATTATAATCTAACAAAGATGTAAAAAAAAAAAAAAACTCCCCAAAAAACAAAGTTCTGTGCTTTCTAGGACCCTCCCTCTTGTCCCACGTTAACCACCCCCCTTCTCCTCCAGAGCACTTTGCTCCTTCCAGACAAGGCCTTCCTTGCCCCTGCTCCCTGCATATGCACGTTTGGGGCTGCCTCAGGGCCTTTGCTTATACTGTTTCCCCTCTTAGATTGTCTTCTCTGCCTTCTCTCTATCTAATCATTAAGAATGTGAATAAGTTCACACATGATGTCGACATCCACTACCTCACTTTGTCTCCTAAACACCTCTGTGTTGGAGGAGGGCATTGAGAGGACACGACTTCCGGTTGACCTGCAAGCTGGACCCAGGTCTTCATCCCCTCCCCTGTCCTTGGAATGTGCTCGCTTGCCTTCCCCGCCTCCCAGAAGCTGCCCAAGAATGTGGCATTGAGATAACAATGTGGTGTTGAAATCACCTGGAAGGTATGACTGAACCCAGTGAAGGCCTCTTTATAAACTCTAAAATTTAGCTGGCAGGGGCCAAGATCTTTTGTGTGTGTGTGTGTGTGTGTGTGTGTGTGTGTGGTACGCGGGCCTCTCACTGTTGTGGCCTCTCCCGTTGCGGAGCACAGGCTCCGGACGCGCAGGCTCAGCGGCCATGGCTCACGGGCCCAGCCGCTCCGCGGCATGTGGGATCTTCCCGGACCGGGGCACGAACCCGTGTCCCCTGCATCGTCAGGCGGACTCTCAACCACTGCGCCACCAGGGAAGCCCCCAAGATCTTTTTATCTGTGGCCGCCCAAGACAAGCCTCCTAAGTAAGTCCCCTGCTGATTCAAACTGACACCCACCAATCTGGAGTGGTCTGCCTCTCTTCCTGCCCTCTGTGGATGGGGGCCAGTTTGTGAACCAACACTCTGCAGGTTAGCACGGCAGGGGATACATATTACCCTCACTTTACTTGCCACTGGAGAGGTTCAGGGAGGTCAAGTGACTTGCCCAGGGTCACACAGTAAGAAGTGGAGTCGTCAGACTCCTTCTCCAGTGCTCATCTTAGCCGCACAGTCAGGAGAGACCCAGGCTGCCGCACCTCACTGTGTCCCCAGGCCCCTTCCATGATTACCCAGACCCATGTGACCTGGCTTCTGCCCACCTCTCCACCTTTATGTGATTTCCTCTCCTTGCTCCCTAGCTCCAGCACCTTGCTGTTTCTAATCGTGCCAAGCTCTTTCCCTGTTCCTTTGTACTCGCTGCTCTTTCCCCAACTGCACAGGGCGGGCGCTTGTTCACTCCGCTGGCAGCCAGGGGGTGCCGTGTCAAGCCTCCCCCCATCACCTTGGTTTCCCCTTCCCCAACCGCTCCCTATCAGGTCACCCTGTTTGATTTGGGGCGTAGCACTTAACAGTACTTTAGATTATCTTTTCAACTTAGGTCTCCCCCACTCTGAGAAGCTTCATGCTACAAGAAATTCCATCCTTCTAGTTCAAAACGGTGTCTTGGGCCCGACCCTGTGCCGGGCGTGTACTAGACTCTCAGCAAGCGTTTGTCGAATGAATGAATGAGCGCAGCGAGGCCTCTCTAACCCCGCCCCTCTGCGCAGGCTGGCGGCGCGCGTCATGTGGCGGGTGGAGAGAGAGGGCGGCGGGCTCACGGAGGGCTGCCTGGTCCCCGTGGACGACCTGCAGAGCCACGTGGAACACTTCGAGGAGGAGGCGCTGAAAGAGCTGCGGGGGGACGTGGACACTTTCCTGCAGTACTGGCCGCCCCAGAGCCAGCAGTTCAGCATGCAGTACATCTCGCGGATCTTCGGCGTGGTAAGATTTCTCCCAAAGTGGCCTTGGGGCTGGGCTGGCGCCCGGGATTGTCCGACGAAGGACCTTCCAGATGCTGCCAGGTCCGTGTGGAAGGGGGGGCCAAGAGAAGTGCTGGACGGGGGAAAGAGACCTCACATGACGAACTTTCACCCAGTTCTCTTTCCGGTCTTCCTTTACTCTGAGGTCATGCCTGCATGGCTGAAGTCAGCACCCCAAGCGTAAACTACTCATTAGCTCTGAGCGGTAGATTTTGATGGTGATTTACCTTCTCGTTCATCTGCACTTCCTATATTTTCTCTTCTCCACATTGAAAACGAAGACCCAGTCACTATCCCTTCTTGCCCACCAGTCACTTTGGAAGTAAGACTCTTCCTTTTCCCACATCTGATGTGCTGATCGTGGGCAACCAGGGAGAGGAGAGTAGGGGCTTTCTGGAGGGCACTGCCTTGAGCAACCTATCCAGGCCTCTTGAAGCCATGAGGGTCCGGGAGGACGGGGTGGGAGCCCAGGGGGTCAGCAGTCTCAGGCCGTGGGCTATGGGGGCACATTTCCCATCTGGCAGGCCCGGCCCCTTGTGGGGTGCTGGTGAGTGGGCTACTGTTATTGTGATAACAGTAGCATGATCACACGCAGCATCTCTCACCATGTGCCAGTGCTTCTGTAATAGTGAGAGTTCTCCAGAGAAACAGAACCACAAGGATGTACTGTGTGTGTCCATGTATGTGCATACATATATATATATGGTATATTATACTCTTAGCATATATATATTCTATATGGAGAGAGAGAGAGAGAGAGAGAGAGGGAAGGAGATTTATTTTAATGAACTGGCTCTTGTGTTGGTGGGAGCTCCTGGTAGGCCATCGGGCTGAAGACCCAAAGAAGAATTGCGGTTCAAGTTCAAAGGCAGTCCACTGGCAGGATTCCTTCTTGCTCAGGGGCAGTCAGTCTCTGTTCTGGAAGGCCTTCAACTGATTGTATGAGCCCATCTCCATTGTGCAGGGTAATCTGCTTTACTCAAAGTCTACCAATTCAAATGTTTATCTCATCCAAAAAACACCTTCACAGAAACATACAGAATAATGTTTAACCAAATATCTGGTCACCACAGCCCAGCCAAGTTGACAGAAAGATAACCATCATAGCCTTCCAGATATTATTTTGTGCAGTCTTTACAAAACAAGATGAAGTCCGTGGTTTTAACATTCCTATTTTATAAAACAGAAAGCCTAGGGCCAGAGAGGTTACAGGACTGCCAAAGGTCACACAGTGAGCTGGTGTCCAAGGAAGGTCTAGAAGCAGTCTGTCTGATGCCAGAGTTTCTACTCTCACATGTGGAGTTTCTATGCTCCACAGCCTTGGTGTGAATGGGTGTCATAGACTATCTTGAGTATCTCTAAGGTGGTCTGGGGACTACAGCCAAGGATGCTGTAATCACCAAGGCGTAGAGCTGAAAGGACCCATGAAGATCATCTAGTCTAACTTATTTAACCTACAGATGGGAAAATAAGAGCTCAGAGAAAAAAGAAATTTGCCCAAGGTAACACAGCTTATTAGTGGTACTGACGGGCTTAACTTCATGTACTTGCTGAATGACCAATAAGATTGATGGAGAAAGTGACTGTCCTCTAGTATCAATAACAAATAGCTATGTGCTATACAGATCAGTATATATCAATAAATGTATATTGTGTTATAAATATTATGGATAGCATGTATTTATATATATGATTTTTACATTTGGCAGAAACTTGTGTGCAGATATTAATGTATCCTAGGTAATATTTATTCTTATACATTTTTTTATACCCTGAGAGCAGACATTTGGAATCTATTTCTATAAAAAAATAACCTTTTTTAAGGAAAAAGAAAGAAATCAGGTGCCGTATAAGCAGTAACCAATTTGATATGCCTGGCATTCAGAAATAAATGTTGCACTCATCAGATTTTAAAATTGTGGACAGGGAGTACAAGGTATCCACCAGACACAAAAACAGATGTTAATTTTATTTTATGAATAGTTATAGGAGTTGAGAGTAGTCAAAGGTAGCAGAGGAGACACACACACGCAAAGCAGAGAAGGGCACAGAGAGAGAAACCAAGATAGACGCTGGGGAAGACTCGTGAGACCCAGATACAGGAAAAAGGAGAAACTTCTCAGAACCAACATTTCCATCTTGGGCCTTTTTATTTTTTTATTTTATTTTATTTTTTGACTGTGCCACACGGCTTGTGGGACCTTAATTGCCCGACCAGGGATTGAACCTGGGGCCCCAGCAGTGAGAGCACTGAGTCCTAACCACTGAACCACCAGGGAATTCCCATTTGGGGCCTTTTTAGAATACAGCTACCCAAAACTTTCAAGGTGGTGGTGCATTTTAGCAAATAGGAGACTCTCCCACGGTGCTAATCTTGAGGGTCATTTGGAGTCACACAGAGAACAGGAGACTGACTGTCTCGTTTCCAGACTCTCTAAGCATTTCCAGGATGAGACCAGGTTTTCTATTTTTTAAAAAACTTTCAACAGCTGGAGGGTGTTCTGCGCCAAGTCTATGTTAGCTGACTCTCCTCTTTTCCCCTGGGTAGATTAACTGCAATGGTTTCACGCTCAGTGACCAGAGAGGCCTGCAGGCAGTGGGTGTGGGCATCTTCCCCAACCTGGGCCTGGTGAACCATGACTGTTGGCCCAACTGCACGGTCATATTTAACAACGGCAAGTGAGTATGTCTTCAACTTGGGTTGGTATGTTGGGGATGGGGAGACCTTATGGTATTGTCTCTACCCTTGATTTAAACCAAAAGTAACCTGTTGAACCTGAGCTAGCATGGACTCCAAATGGACAGAACATAGAAATTTTATTCTAGAATAATTGTGAATAGGAGAAACATAATGAGGAAGATGGCAAAGAATTCCACGTGAGTAATTTTGGAGTCTCTGTATGTTTCTTGAGGTTGCCTAGATATGTTAGATAAACCTCTAACTACTACATAATTTAGAACTTGAAGCCTGAGATTTTCTATCTAGAGGTCATTGCAGAACATCATCAACTGAGAAGGCGCTTGGCAGGAACAGTCAAGTTCCCAGCAGAAGTCAGAAGGCACATGCAGGGGTTACCCTAAGAGAAGTTAGTAAAAGCACAATTGACGGAAGTGTGGGTAGAGTCGAAGAAATTGACAAAGAATGGTGAAATGTCCAGGGTCTAGTGACAGAATGAAACCATTACCACCTTTTGACCTGGAGGGGCAATGGAGGAAGTACGGTTCTTGCAGCTGGTGAGAGCTGTAGCCATGGGAGGGGGCCCTTTCTCCCTGCCCACCCCCGCCACTCCAACAGCTTGGCTGTACCTGTAGAGAAACCAGCCACTGCTAGAACCGTGGTGTGGCAGAGGGAGAGCCAAGAGACTAAATACCCCAACCTCTTTCTCCTCCCATCTTCTGATCTCCTCCCGTGGGCCAAACCCCAACCAGAAGCCAGAGGGCCAAGGAATCTGGGTGATGAAGCCCTCAGAGGTCAGCCCTGCGCCCCTGGAAGGCACAGGTCAGGGGACAGAAGGGCAGAGAATGGAATTTGGGGTGGAACGCAAATGGAGAAGAGTCAGCAAACAGGATGAGCCCCTCGTTGTCCATGGCTTAGGCTGGGGGGCTTTGGGGGAATGAGGCCTAAACAATATTTCTTTTGCTCTTAGAGACGAGCTCTTATGACAGGTGCAAGTTGACTCTAAGCCATCAACAAGGAGCAGGCTTCCCCCCAAAGATAATGGTTTCTGGTTCTCAGCCAAGAGTCAAGCTTAAGTTCCAATAGAGCGAGGGCTCTGATTTCCCTCTTCCTTCCTATTTCTGGAAGCAAGGGCGTGCATGACAGTAGCACTTGAGAAAGTCACTCAAGACAGGACAGTTCATTTTGCACCCAGATGATTATCTTTCCCCAGCATTTGTATTTCCCTTTGTAAGCCTCTTGGGGTCACTGGCCTGGACCTCATGGAATCCTCCCCAGAGGAGCTGGTGTCTGGAGTTACCCTGGTTGGCAGAGAAGATCAGATTCACATGTGGGGCTGGTCTTTCTGGACACCACTCCCCTAAGTGGCGGTGACCCAGAGCTCTTCTTGTCACCACATGTAGCAGCCACAAGAACCCGGGGGCCCTTTCTTCAGATCATCACCAGTGCCCGCTCTGGCTTCCACGCATCCACTAATTTCAAGCAGCCACATTGTACCCGAGCTTCTTGGATGTTGTGCAAGAGGTGACTGCAGTCACTGTCTAGCTGCCTGCCATAGTGGAAAGAACACTGGACGCGGTGCTAGGAGCCCAATTCTAACCCCAGTAATTTCTGCATACTTCCTGTGTGATGGGTCTCCAGACACAGTTCAAACTGTTCCCGAAATAGACATTCAAAGAGGCCACCCTTATTTGTCCAAGATGCTTGTTAGTGGGACAATAATAGCCTCCCATGTGTTTTCTTAGCACTCTACTTTTATTTTATTCTTTTGGAAAAGAATGCCTGAAGGAAGGTTTATTTCAGTAGAAGAGAAAGCTGAGCCAGGGTTTGAATCATCCAAAGATCGCCTGATGCTGCTTCTTGGTGGCCACACAGCTGGGGACTCTAAGTTGAAGCCCTTATTAGTGTACCACTCAGAAAACCCCAAGGCTCTGAAGGGGTACTCCAAGCCCAATTTGCCCACGATTTGGCGCTCAAACAGGACTAGGCAACCTGGAGCATCTTTCATGAATGGTTCCCATACTTTTTGTGCCCTGCCATTGAAAAATACTGTAGCACTCTACTTTTCAATGCGTTGTCTCATGACGGTCTCATTACCAGGTTACAGATGAGAATACCGAGGCCCAGGGAAGTGAAGCAACTTGTCCAGACTGAATCCCTTTGAACCCAGAACTTCTCATTCCAAATCCAGTGCACTTTCCACTATAGCAGGCTGCCTCTTGTCAAGGGAGCCCAGCTAGGAGCGGCTGGGATAGAGATGGTTGTGATGACCAAAGCTTTGATGGCATAACCTGGAGTGCTGTGCACCCTTGCTAGCCGTACGGGATAAGCCAATGGTAATGATTTCCATTTGGGTGTCTGTTTTGTTTTTCAGTCATGAGGCAGTGAAATCCATGTTTCACACCCAGATGAGGTGGGTCAGTCTTTGGAAACATCCCTGCTGCTCTGACCCATCTCCCTCACTTGCCTGGTTTGCTGGGGCTGCCCCTTCACGAGACTCCTTGGCTGTCTGTCCGTAATGTCCTTCTGCTCCCCAGAATCTTGTCTTTGTTGGATGCTGCGTGTTTAATGCATTTATATTAATCATTTTGTTCCTCACCCACCCACTACCTGCTGTGCCTATGCTTCCCTCTCTTACTCCTCATTTCTCTCTCTCCTCCAACCTCAAAGCGTGAAGGTCCTTTCCAGTCCACATCATCTTAGCAAAAACCCACACTCTCCCTTTAAACCCTGCTTATCGTGAAATGAGCACTGTTGATATTACTGACCTACTAAAGGACTCTGTGTTTTTTTGGGGTTTTTTTTGCGGTACGCGGGCCTCTCACTGTTGTGGCCTCTGCCTTGCGGAGCACAGTCTCCGGACGCTCAGGCTCAGCGGCCATGGCTCACGGGCCCAGCTGCTCCGCGGCATGTGGGATCTTCCCAGATCGGGACACGAACCCGTGTCCCCTGCATCGGCAGGCAGACTCTCAACCACTGCACCACCAGGGAAGCCCAAGGACTCTGTGTTTGTTTATAACCTCCAACTTCTCACTCAGACTGGTTCTGAAAATGGTACCCATAACTGTGATGTTTTTGAAAAATATTTATTCATAGTATTCTCTTTATTGCTTCTGGCCAACTATGAATTAGTGGTTTAGGTTAGATTTTACTTGGGACTTTTCTTAATGACAACTCCACAGCCCCAGTGGGCCTTTTTCTCAAGGTGGGCTTGAAAGTACTTGAAATGATCTTCGGATTAACAACAAAATGCTGTGTGGAAGTTTGGGCCTTGGGAGGGCAGGGGTAGGAGTGGTCGGTGCACCTGAGTCTGTGTTGATGTGCGTTGCGAGGGACTTCGGACGATTCACATCATCTCCTGGGCGTTTGGTTCTATATTTGTAGAGCAAAGGTCAAGGTGAGAGCGTGTCTAGGGACCTTCCTAATTCTAAGTCTCTGTGGCCCTGGACTCTGCTCCTGACCTCTCTACAAGAAATACTTAAGTTGCCTACTTGTGGCTCAATTGGCTGAACTGTAGAACTGCAGAGCATTAGAGATGGAAGAGGTCTGGGATCCAAAACAGAATAGTGGTCACTATTCCTCCCCTGATTCCCGGTGCCAGGTTAGGTAAAATGGGGCATATAAATGTACATTTCTTATACCTAAGTGACTTGACATTAATTTGGTTTTGAAAACTCTCTCATATCATTGAAATAATTTGAGATACTCTGAGACCTTGTGGGAAATGGATTAACCTTGGTGCGAAGCAAAGCTACTGGCCAACTCAACTGGTCACTGATTCACTGTTGAACGAGGACATGTCAATATAGTGAGCTGCCTCTGTGAAAGGGCTAGTGGGAGCAGAATTGCTTACTTATCCTGTATTATCACATATATTGGGCAAGGCAGTGTACCCCACTTTGAGAGAAGGTTCTTTAACCTTAAGCGGTCACCTCAGGGGCCTGGACATGCAAGTCACTGCTGTTCCTCGCTTGGCTGTCACCTCCGAGCACGTGGAAGGGGCTCCCTCTGACTGGGACCTTTCTCTGGTGCTGGAATCTTCTCCTGCCTTTCACGTGGCATCTGAATCAGCCTCTCTGGGAGGTAAAGGAAATGACCATGGACTTCTCTGTAGATGCTTTCCCAGCCCTCTGCATCCTGCCCCTCACTCTCTGGGTGATGGGTTCCCTCTGGGCAGGGAGGCCCCCTGATGTTGGGGGGATACAGGGGCATAGCTTAGGATCCAGCTTGCCGGGCTCACCACTCTTTCTGTAGTTTCTGGACTCCTGGGTGGAAGATGCATGGCTGAGAGGCCCACAGGCTGGTCTCAGCTAGTTTGGCTTAGCTGGGTGTCAGTTGTGCAGTGGGATTTTGTCTTCAGTACATTCTGTATCTATCACATGGTGAGGTGTGTAGTGCTGTAAGTAATTGGAGGGTCAGGTCTAGGCTGGAAGGGGGTTACAATGTCATCTTCTCTCACTAACCACCTTCAACCCCAAAGCCATGTCCCCCAGTAAACACAAAAGTGAACAATGCAGTGGGCTAATAAAGAGCTAGCCTTTATTTGCCTCAGAGATCTCTAGGCATAAGTCTCCTCACATAAATTAGGTCTGAACCATTGGACCAAAGGTTAAGGTAAGAGGGGGCTTATAATTAGACACAGAACGGGCCAAGCTTCTGGGTAACTGAATGTGCGTGTTTCTGAGAGAAGCAGTCTCCAAACTAACCAGAAATGACTGTCAAGGCTTCTCTTGTTTGGAGTTTTTGCCTTATTATTTCTCCATTCCTTTGTTACAGACAATCAGTAGCTAAATGCACTGGGAGACCTGCAGGCGTGGAAGCTTTGTGTGCTTTTGTGATGGAGCCCAGACCTCTACTGGGAGTCTATTTGAGCTGATTCCAGAGCAATTAGCTGAATGGAGCAGATTTGATTGTTATAATGAGTAGAGTAGAACTCTCCAGAAAACTGTCCTTTACACCACATCTCCCCCTTTGGGGGGGAATGGAGTTTTCTCAGTGTTAGTGGAGGTCGTTGTCTTTGAGACTCAACTTCTTGAAACCTTGAAGAGCGTACATCCCACCCCGGATCTGATGGACTCTTCTCCTTTACCCTGCTCCAGAATTGAACTCCGGGCCCTGGGCAAGATCTCAGAAGGAGAGGAGCTGACCGTGTCCTATATCGACTTCCTTAACGTCAGCGAAGAACGCAAGAAGCAGCTGAAGAAGCAGTACTACTTTGACTGTACGTGTGAGCACTGCCAGAAAGGGCTGAAGGACGACCTCTTCCTGGGTGTGAAAGACGACCCAAAGGTACAGGCAGCCCCACCACTGGGGTGCTTCTGGGCATCTTCCCCAGGAGCCAGGCGAGGGCAGATTCCACAGCTAACCAAGGTGCCACTGCCCTGGTGGACAGAGCGGGTGGTGGACAGAGCACGCAGATGGGTCCCAGCTAGCGTCCTGGTACCACTGCTTGCCAGGTGTCTGACTTTGGGGAAGTTACTCTGTTTTCTCATTTGTAAGATAGGAATGATGGCACCTGCTACAGGGGTTGTTATGAGGATTAAGCAAGATGATATATGTAAAAGGAGAGGCATAGAGAGTAGACACTGAAGGAGAGGCATAGAGAGTAGACACTGAAGGAGAAACATAGAGAGTAGACACTGAAGGAGAGGCGTAGAGAGTAGACGCTGAAGGAGAGGCGTAGAGAGTAGACGCTGAAGGAGAGGCATAGAGAGTAGACGCTGAAGGGGAGGCGTAGAGAGTAGACGCTGAAGGGGAGGCATAGAGAGTAGACACTGAAGGAGAGGCATAGAGAGTAGACGCTAAAGGAGACGCATAGAGAGTAGACACTCAGTAAATTTAAGTTCCTCTTCTTGCCCCTTTGCAGGTTAAGTGATGCTGAGAATTCCATATAGAGAGACCAGATGGGCAAAGAGATTTGTTGTCGGGTTATCACAAACATATTCCTAGTCCCATGGAAATGGGCAATGGGGAGATGGGGCAATGTTTGGATTGCTTAATATGCTTAATTCCTGAGTAACTGTTGCCTAATTGATGGTGAGACCACTCAGCACTGGAAGTCTTACCAAGGGAGATGTCCCCCAGCGCCCCCTTCACAATAAGCAGGCCTTCGTAGAGGCTCCTGAAGAAGACCTCAAGACCTCAGATAATCAACTATACTTCAATTTAAAAAAAAATAAAAGAGAGCGAGAGACTTAGGAACGAAGGCACCTGGTCCAGGAATGCAAATATGCGAAGAGCATGACCTGCCGGGGGACCTGAGTCCTTGGCTGCATCTCCCTTCACAGACTGCGGTGCTCTGGCCCTGCACCAAATCCCCTGTGGGGAGGGCAGCTTTCCCCCCACCCGTGAGGCCTGCCAGGGAGAGCCTTTGGAATTGCCTATGGTCAGGTCTGAAAAATCACACGTAGGTTTTTAACCGGGAGCCATTCTCCTCGGGGAGGCTAACCCAGCACTTCTATATAATTCACAGTTCACCAGAGCATTTAAGATACAAATATACTTCTGAATTAACTTCTGCATCCTAAGTGTGGGCAGAAACTTGTCTCTGGTTAGAGCAAAGGCTACAAGCAAAACTGACTTCTAGGTTCATATGGAGGGACCCCTCTCAATGACTTCATTACCCAGTGGTGTCAGTGCTACTGTCCAGATAGCTCTGTTCCCCCACTTGATGCACCTCTCTTTCATTTTCAGGCTCTTCGAGGCTTCTTTTGCCACTAACTTATTTTTACTCTCAATATATAATATTTTTTACCCTTTGGCCAAGCAGTTCTAAGAATTTACCCTGCAGATATACTTGCGTATGTGCATAGGAATATATGTGTAAAGAGATAGTACATTACGGCATTGTTGGGAACAGCAAAATATTGGAAAAAAGCTAAATAACCACCAATAGGGAAATATTTAAGTTAAGAAAATAAACTAATGAGGTAGATCTTTGTGTACAGACATGGAATGAGCTCTCTTTCTTTTTTTTATTTACTATTTTTAAAAATTGAAATATAGCTGATTTACAGTGTTGTGTTAGTTTCTGGTGTACAGCAAAGTGACTCAGTTATACATACATACATATATTCTTCTTCATATTCTTTTCCATGATGATTTATTACAGAATTTTGAATATAGTTCCCTGTTCTATACAGTAGGACCTTGTTGTTTATCATTCTACATGTAATAATTTGCATCTGCTAGTCTCAAACTCCCAATACTTCCCTCCCCCATCCCCCTCCCCCTTGGCAACCACAAATCTCTATGTCTGTGAGTCTGTTTCTGTTTCATAGATAAGTTCATTTGTGTCACATTTTAGATTCCACATCTAAGTGGTATCATATGGTATTTGTTTTTCTCTTTCTGACTTACTTTGCTTAGTGTGATAATCTCTAGGTCCATCCATATAGCTGCAAATCACATTATTTCATTCTTTTTTATGGCCGAGTAATATTCCATTGTACCATATCTTCTTTATCCATTCATCTGTCGATGGACATTTAGGTTGTTTCCATGTCTTGGTAATTGTAAATAGTTGAGCTCTATTTCTTAAGGGAAAAGAGTTAAGGGGCTGAACATTGACATACGAATTCGTTTCCTAGGGCTGCCGTAACACAGTACCCCAAACTGGGTGGCTTACAATAGAAATGTATTGTTTCTCAGGTCTGGAGGCTAAAATCTGAAATCAAGGTCTTGGCAGGGCTGGTTCCCTTTGAGGGCTGTGAAAGAAGGGTCTGTTCTAGGCCTCTTTCTTTGGCTTGTAGCTGACCCTGAGCCTTTTCACATGGTCTTCTCCTCATGTGTCTCTTTCTCTTCACCTGACATTGTTTTTTTAAGAACACCAGTGCTGTTGGATTAAGGGCCCATCCTACTTGAGTATGACCTCATCTTAACAAATTACATCTGCAATGACCCCATTTCTAAATAAGGTCAGATTCTGAGGTACTGGGGGTTAAGACTGCAACATAGGAATTTAATTTGGGGGGGATGAAATTCAACCCATAACACTGTGTATGCTACCATTTCTGAAAATTAAATTTATTAAATTATTTCAATTAAAAGGGACACATGCCCTGACACAAATTCGCTCACCCCACCTGGATGTGCAAGCAGAGTCAGTCTCCAAACAGACAGAAGTAGGAGGAGGAATCTGTAACCAGTGGATCAACGATGCCTAGTGTGGAGAAGTTGAGAGTCATCCCTCCCAGGCAGGATACAAAGCAGGAATGTGTTCCTTATAGGAACAACCCCATTTTCACAGAATCAAATGTTCTGTTTTCCAGGAAATATGTACTGACACTTATGTGTGGGGCACTGAACACAGTACCACAGGAGCTACAGAAAAGAATAAGCTACTGTGTCCACCCTCACCCTGACCTTCCAGAACCTGCAGGATAATATGTGTCTTATCAGCAAGCCAGCCAGCCTTCCCTCCTGGTGCCTGGCCCTGAGTATTTTTTTCATAACTTGCTTCCACCACTACCTAATTTTTCAAAGAGGCCAGACCCTCTTTTCTCCCTTCAGAAATTAAGTGAAACAACTGTGTAGTCATTTCTCTAAATTTTTCAATATTTACCTGGCAACTCCAATAGTTAAATAGGTGATGTGTGGCTGTTAGCTCCTGTCCCTTCACTTTAGCTACGCTCACCAGCTGGTGACTGTATGCCGACATCTTTCAGTCTGAATTAGCAGAGCTGACATCTCTCTTGATATAAAAACATCGATGATTTCTGCTTGAACCGACCTTGATTCAAAGCGAAAACTGTCTATTATTTTTATATCACATTGGGTTTCTCTGTTAAAATAAAGAAATAACTCAAAATAAAAATGACTCAACCAAAACAAGTAAGCAGAGAAAAGAATTGAGTATGACTTTTTAAAGGCAAGTGCATCTGAAGGCATAATAAAAAGCCATTATATTGTAGTGGAAAGAATACTGGAGAATTAGGAGGCCTGTGTTCTAGTTCTGGCTGTGACCCTGAATGTCTGAGCTTGGGCACGTCTCTTCCTTGTGGGTCTCAGTTTCCTCATCTGTAAAGTGGAGCATTGGACTAACTTATTAACAGTTCCTTCAAGCTTTTCTATCTACGATGTCATCACAGTTGCTCTTCTTTCTTCATTTAAATAATGCTTTATCCCAGCCTGACAAGCTCCTTTCTATACACCAGCCTTTGTGACTCATCTTCAAACCTTAAATTGGCATCAAAATTGTTTCTGACTCCTATGTATATATTATAAATAACTAAATAAATATAATAAAAACATACACATATAGACCTGCATAAAAATAAAAACCAAATTTTTTAAAAATGAGACCATAACACCAATTTCCCCCGATTGTAGCTTTGGACCCTCCTTGTTTAGGCTGTTTGGTTCTCTCTCTCTCTCTCTCTCTCCAGCCTTCAGCTATGGTTTTTACAATAGGAATGTTCCAGTTTCTCAAGGTTGGGGAGCTAATGTCCCTCTTTCCTTCCCCTCCTCTTTTGATTCCTCCTCTGGCTTCTACCCCTCTCCTCCGGTTCCTTTCTCTTCCTCCCTGTTTTCTATTAGTTGTGGTGTGCTCCTCGAGAGGGGAGCCTCTCTCTGTGGGCTTCCTTACATCCTATCTGCAGATCAGGTTTTCCTGCCTTTACTCCGAAAAGGGAGCCAAGTGGAACCGCCCATTTCCCTTCTCCGAATAGCTTTATCCCATGTTGCATGTGTCAGTTAATAACCTTTCAGCCAGGTTGTTTTGAGAACATTGGCAGTTGCCTCCTTGAAAAAATTTAATTCCCTTCCAGAGCTTAAAGTAACACTCTTCCTTACAACATCAAACTGAGCAAGGCTTTCATTAACACCTAACAGCTTGGTACTCCCTGAATTTACCCTACAAGATATTGATTACCCCAGAAGATTCACTAAGTATTTTGAGTTTTAAAGACAATGGAACGTACAGTGGGTTGGAGACTAGTGTGATTTTATGAGCCAACACTTGGGCAACAAACTATAGGTGAAACTAAAGATGTACGTTTGATAGATGGGTGACACACCTCCGAACCACCAGTCACAGAACTCTACACAACCAGGCAAGATATGGACTCCTCTCACTAATGTGCTTGATTCCAACGGGCTAAGGAAAGCAGACGCACGCTGAAATGACTGGTCTTGGGACCAAGGCATGGTCTGCTAACTAGCAGAATGCTGAGTAGCGCTCGGGCGGGAAGCCAACATTCGGGTCGTCAGGCAGGAAGGCAGCCAGAAGCCAGGAATCTCAGACAAATCAAAGGTCAAGGTGAAAGTTAAGTCAGGAGTGAGACCTGCCAGAAGAACTCAGAGCATTGATGGATGCATCAGATGCTGGAGCCGGGCTGTGAGACAAGTACAGAAACAAATACAGAAGAATTGCAGGGAGGCCCAGATACAGAAGGATATGGAAAGGAAGGTAGTCAGAATTTTAGGGATGATCAAGAACTCTGCAGAAGCCAAAGTAGGTGAAGTGGGGAGAAGCATAAATATAATCCCACTTCCCTAAGTGATCTCGACCCTGAGGCAAGCTGTGCTGGGTTCGGGTTCTCCTATTACAAGATGGACACTGTGGAACTGGCTCAAGACAGGCTGGGAGCCTGAGGGAAGACCCTTGATCTCCACGTATTAGGGGGCTGTATTTTTAAGGGAACAGATGCCCATTCTCCTGTAACTTTTTGGTAGTTTAGTGATGGTGACCTCACAAAATAATGTGAGCAGCAGATATAAACACAGCTGTTGATCCCGATTCTTCGTGGTGAAAAAATTGGACGACCAGAGAACTGATTAAATTGTTCTAGTTTTGTACGGTGGAAAACTCTAGTTACTAAAAAGGCGATATAGGTATTTTTATATTTACATGCGAAAATATCCACAATCTACTGAGTGAAAAAAAGTAGGCAATAGACAGAAATATGTTATTATTCCAGTTAGAAAAAGATTGATGCTATTGACATATACACCCTCATGCATGTGTGTACATGCAGGACTGCAATTCAGCCAGAACACACTGATACAGTCATACAGACATACTCTTTGTTGATGTGTCTGTGCCTTTGATAGGTCGGTGCCTTTCCTATACCAGTTGTTACATAGTTTAAATATTTTTCCTCTGTATACTCACTGGAAAATACTCCTCAACGTGCTGTGTCCATCTTCGTGTGGGTTCTGGGCATTTCTACTGTTTTCTCCGTACTTTTTCATACTGTTTTAATTTTTTACAGTTTGCATATGTTAATTTTACAGTCAGAATAAATAATAAAGGTATTTTTATTTTGGAAAAAAGTTAGATTTGCCCAAGCAAAAAAAAAAAAAAATCTTTTTTTCAGAAAAAAACTTCTCTTTCTTTAGTTTTTTTTTTTTTTTTTTTTGCTGTTGAGTTTCTTGGGTTTTTTTTTGCCACGTGGTACACGGGATCTTAGTTCCCTGACCAGGGATCAAACCTGTGCCCGCTGCAGTGGAAACGAGGAGTTTTAACCACTGAACCGCCAGGGAAGTCCCCCCAGAAAAGAGCTTCTGATATGGATAAACATAGCAAGCAAACTTTTCCTTTGGTCTTTGAGAAATTTGGCACTTTTTCTTCAAAATTATCGTGCCTTCACGGGAACTGGCTTCTTAATTATGGTACCTCAAATATCAAAACCTCATTTTTTTTTTTTTTTAACAAGATCACTAGACTGCTTAGGCAAACATAAACATAGGGAGCCTGGTAGGTCTAGATTTCACGGCTGACAAGTTCTCTCATGGATATCCTTTTGGTCTAGACAGGGAAATAGGGACTGGTTGCAGAGACACTTGGAAGGGTTGACAGCCCATAGCCACAGGGCCCTCTTTAATGAGCTCCAACGGCAAACTGGAGTATGATATTTTTTGGTCAAGTCCCCGGCCTCTGTCCTCAACCACTGGACCACCAGGGAAGTCCTGAGCTATAGGGACCTTGCATGGCATTTACAGAACTGAAGCATTCAATGAAGAAGGCATTAATCTTGTACTACAGTGAATGTCAAAGGGGGCAGCTGTTCAAAGATGCAGTGGGTTGCCTCACAAGGGGGTCTCCAACTGAATGTCCCTCCCTTTCCCAGCCCTCTCAGGAGGTGGTGAAGGAGATGATACAGTTCTCCAAGGATACGCTCGAAAACATTGACAAGGCTCGCTCTGAGGGTTTGTACCACGAGGTAAGAATTCATTTTTCTTTTTTTGCGGTACGTGGGCCTCTCCTTGTTGTGGCCTCTCCCGTTACGGAGCACAGGCTCCGGATGCGCAGGCTCAGAGGCCATGGCTTACGGGCCCAGCCGCTCCGCGGCATGTGGGATCTTCCCGGTCTGGGGCACGAACCCGTGTCCCCTGCATCGGCAACTCACTGAAACTGGGTTTGAGGAGAGCACAGGCAGCCTGACAAATGTCCTGGGGCTGGGGGTGTCTGTGATATCAGGGATGGAGGAATGGAAATGGCAGTGGGTGTCTTGCTTTCTCGCGTCCTGGCTACAGTGTCCAGATCTACTAACTGTGCATTCAACCCTGGCTCTAGAAACACCAGGCGTTCTCAACTGGCTGTACACAAGAATCATTGAAAAAATCCTGATGCTCAGGACAATTCCTCCAGAACCTCTAGGAGTGGGACCCAGACATCAAGATTTGTAAAGCTCCCGAGTGATTTCAACAGGCACCTAGAGTTGAGACCCACGGCCAACACTGACCTGCAGAGCACGTGCCTGCACTGAATTCACAAAGGCAGCTTGTTGGAAGTACAGATTCCCGTGTCTCACCCCCTAAGGTGTGATCCGTCTAGTCTGCAACAGAACACAGGGACCATGAAGCAGTATTTTTCCCCCCAAGCTCTTTAGACAATTTGGTAGCTAGGTTTGGATGGCACGAGGGCATGGCAAGGTGGGAGATTAATTTCTGTTCGTTTCTATCTGCTTTTCTCTGATCTTCATTCGCCTCCTTTCCTCACTCATTCTTTGCCCACTTTTGAGCCCTTACTGGGGTGACCAACACACGACATGCTCCTTGCCTCCCGGGAGTTCTGTCAGCTTGCGGGGAGAGAGTCCCATGAACAAAGTGTTGCTGTACAGTCCGGAAAATCTATGGCAGAGGCTCGCTGTAGGAGCTGGAGCTCCGGATTCCATTCCTCTGTCGTCTTCTTCGTTTGTCCTCTTCTCTGCTCACGCTTGGTAGGGTCGGGTGCAGGGCTGGACGCTGCTCATGGGCTTACAAGGATTGTCTTCAGGATAGATTGTTTGCCAGCTCACAGTTTGCCACGCCCCTACCTGGCTGCCTCATGGGCCTCTGGGAGAGTCTCAGAGAAAACTGGTTTCCACGCATTTGAAATGGAAAGAATTGTGTGACATTTCTCCCGTGAGTGTGGCAAGGGAAGGAGGGGAGAACTGTGAACCACTAAAATCTAGAGACCATCTGACTCTGTAGGGTGTAACTGAAGATACGTCTACACATGAATCAGTTGGAAAAGCCCGACTATAAAGCCGCTTGTGGTCGGGCCCGTCTTCTTCCTCACCAGGACCCATGTGGTCTCCTCCTGATGGGTCGCCTGGCCTCTCTCTCTGCCAATCCCTCCCGTACCCTTCGAGCAGGGCATGACTGTCCAACCTCACTGTGCATAAGGGCCACCCAGGGGCAGATGTGAAGGATGCCATGGTCCCTCCCCCTGGTATTCAGTTTCAATTGGTCTGGGGTAGGACTCAGACGTCGGGATTTATAAAAGCTCTCCAGATGACTCCAGAGCACAGCCAGGATGCAGAATCATGGGAATGATGGTTAAGATAAAGCTCCACTGCTTGATTTGAATACTTGCTCCATTGCTCACTTTCTGTGTAACTTTGGCAAAGCACTTGCCGCTCTGTGCTTCAGTTTCCTCGTCTGGGAGAATGGGAATATTAGTAGTGCCTACCTCATTGTGTTGTTCTGAGAAGAAGTACATATATATGTAGGAACATGGCTTTCATAACTCCCTGCTGACTTCTGTGATAACTCCTCATTCTGCCATGTCAGCTGTGTCTCCCACTGTTACCCTTGCCATCCCTACATCTTAGCCAAACAGGGCCATTTTGCTATTCAGATCACAAACTTGTGCTTTCCCTTCTCTGCCGGTAGTTTCCTCAGGCTTCGAAGAGTGAGCGTCCAATGCCATCGTGATGCTCCCATATGTGAGTCAAGCATGTGCTCTGGGGCAGGGATAACAGACAGGGCCTGTGTCTCCTAGGTTGTGAAATTATGCCGGGAGTGCCTGCAGAAGCAGGAGCCAGTGTTTGCCGACACCAACATCTACACGCTGCGGCTGTTGAGCACCGTTTCCGAGGTCCTCTCCTACCTGCAGGCCTTTGAGGAGGCCTCACACTACGCCAGGAGGATGGTGGACGGCTATATGTAGGTGACGATCCTGGGTCTCAGGTAGTCTCCTGGAAATGTGTCTATTCCAGGGATGGCAAAGAGATGGCACGCATGTCGCTACCTCTCCCTCCTGCGCCCACAGCAGGCATCAGTAATTGATAACTGTCCTCTTTATAACTGAGTCTTTGTATCGTGGTGTTCTGAGCAATAATGTCCAAAGAATCAGATTTGCTACCTGAGATGAAATCTATTTGTCATCCCCGGTCTTCCCCAAATCCTCCAGCTTGTCTATCATTTGGGAGGCATCTTCTGCTTGTGGTTTCCTTAAGGCTAAATCTGGCTTGATTTTAAGTGCTTAGAAAAGTTTCTCCCCCCTAACAATCAACAGAGGCAATCTTGTCAGCTTTAGATTTTATTTTTTTTTTAAAAAAAAGAGGGACTTCCTTGGTGGTCCAGTGGTTGAGACTCCGTGCTTCCACTGCAGGGGGCATGGGTTCCATCCCTGGTTTGGGAACTAAGATCCCACATGCTGCACAGCAAGGTGCAAAAAAAAAAAAAAAAAAAAAAAAAAAAAAGAGGTGTCAGCCATTCTTGCTTATAAATTGTAAAAGGCAGCTCCTTTGCCTTCCCTCTGCTAATGTCCTCTCTTGCCTTATGTGTCCACATGGGCATGTGAATTTGTATTTCTGGCCAAATGAATATGTTGGCGTAAGAAAGTTGCATTTTTTTGAGTGGATGTTACTCATAAACAAAATCTGGGAAACCTGTACACCATGCGAAAGGAAGTCCTGTTAAGAGAGTGCCAAGGAGGTGAAGATACAACCCTGTCCCGAGAAGGACATTCGAATTATTTTTTTTCCCCTGAACTTCCTAGCCCGTTCAAAGGAGGGCTGAAGGCCCCCAGCTCCTTGTACTCAAGTTCCAAGTACAATCCTGACCCCGGTTCCCCATTAGGACTTGCCTCAGTAGCCTAGGTCGGAGCCTCAGCTCTTGCAGCCTCACTGCGTGGGGTGTTTGGCATCTCAGTGCATCTCTGTGTGCCCTAGTCTCCCCTGATGGTTGACGCCTCACAGCGCTGGTGGGAGAGTATATGGACTTCATCAGTGAGGTCACTTTATAAGTTGTCAAATGTTGTGCAGATAAAAGGTAGGTTGGGAATATGTGTCATCATTACTTGCTCTGCCCCTGCAGGAAGCTGTATCACCCCAACAATGCCCAGCTGGGCATGGCCATCATGCGGGCAGGGCTGACCAACTGGCACGCTGGCAACATTGAGGTGGGGCACGGCATGATCTGCAAAGCCTACGCCATTCTCCTGGTGACACACGGACCCTCCCACCCCATCACCAAGGACTTAGAGGCAAGTGGCTTCTTGGGTCGAGTCTGGGCTCTCTGAAGATGGAAGCTGAGGGCTAGACTCTGCTTTTGGAAAGACCCTAGATTGCCTGCTAGGCCAGAAGGGAATTCAGAAATGCTTAGTCCTCTCCCCTTGTTTTACATCTGAGCAAACTGAGGCCCAGAGAAGGGGAGTAACCTGTCCTTGGTCACAAAGCGAGTGGATAGCAACATTGAGGCTTGAACCCTGGGATGCTCCAGGCCTGGACTGAGAAAACCTAATGGTGTGCATGTGTGTGTAGCACGTACATTAGAAAACATGCCACATGGAGTAGAGTCAGGGAGCACAGGCTCTGGGACCAGACTGCTGGGATCCAATTCCAGTTGGACCACTTTCCAGCTTTGTGGCTACAAATATTGAGTGTGTGGGCCTCAGTCTTCTCATCAGAAAAATGGAGAAAAAAGGGTAAGGTTGTGGCAAAGGTTCAATGAATTGATGTGTGAAAAGCACTCAACAGTGTCTGGTGAGTGGCATGCTCTTCATAGCTGCTGGCTGGCTTTGTGCTTCGAGGGCTGATTTATTTGAAAGTGACGGGGTTCAGAGGACTGTCCTCAGGCAGTAGTACAGGGAAAGAGGACAGACTTTGGTGTCATAGAATGTATGTCAGTACATTAAGCTTGTCAAATACAAGTGTTTGTCATTGTATTCACTGCTCTAACCTCAGCCCCTCAACGAAGCCTGGCCCTTGATAAATATTTCGTGAATTAACATACGGGAGAATGAGGGTTTTTCTGTGTGTCACATAGAAATAGTAATCTTCCCGGCCGTTGTAAAGTACAAGGGAATCTCACCCATTTCGTGTATGAGGAAACTGAGGGCTGAAGGGATTAAGTCACTTGCCTGATGTCCCACAGTGTTGATGGGACTTAAGTTCAGGAACCAGGGTTCAAATCCAGTTTCCCACCTAGCAGTTCCTAAGAACAAACATTCTCCGCTGAGAGCATTCCCTCAAGCTACTCTCTCAGGGGTCTGACTCCCTCTTCCTAACAAATGGAGTCCACGGCCAGGACATTAGACTCGCAGTGTATGAGTGTGTGTGTGTGTCCTCTGGGGAGGTACAGTTGAATCTCAGTGGCTGGGAGCCACTTACCCCATAGTCTGTCATTTCCAAAAGGGCCAAGGTAGGTCAGAAACCAACACATCCTGGGGGTTTGTCCTCACTGTTTTCGGTGTATCCGCGTCCCACAGGCCATGCGGATGCAGACGGAGATGGAGCTGCGCATGTTCCGACAGAACGAGTTCATGTACCACAAGATGCGTGAGGCCGCCCTGAACAACCAGCCCATGCAGGTCATGGCTGAACCCAGCAATGAGCCGGCGCCGGCTTTGTTCCACAAGAAGCAATGAGGACCTGCCTGGTGGGAGAGGGGCGCCGTGGCTGGGGAACTGGGGAGACATTCTGGAGGTGGTGGGTTTCTGGGGAGACCCTTGATGAGGAAATCAGCGTAACGCTCAGCCTTGTTGCCGCGGGAATGTCCTACTCTTTTTTCCCAGTGTCATTTCGGTTCATTTCAACTCAGTTCAATTCAATTTAACCTTATCCCAGACCAGTCCAACTCCTCCTACAAATATTTATTGCGATAAATATTTATAGGGATAAAGAAGCTCCAAATGTAGCTGGAGAGGCAAAATGTAAACAATTAAAGCACAGTGTGATAATAAATGCAATGGTAAACTCTATGGAGAGAGGGAGTACAGTGGAGGGCATGTGTCTGGTGTGTGTGTGTGTGTGTAGTGGTGAGGGTGTCATGGAGGAGATGACATCTGAGCTAAGGGTGGCAGGTACCTGGAGTCTCAGGTGGCCACTCACCTATCTGTGCAGGTGTCTCTGGAATATTCGGGATTTGCTGACTGGGATGGGTGATGTTCAGTTTCCTCAGGCGAGTGTGGAGTTATGAAGAAGAGACTGTCTTTGGGCCTTTCAGGTCCTACTCAGAGAACTGAAACTTCTTCAGAAGGGCACGTATGCAGAAGGAGGGCTTTGCCCAAACCACTTGAGGCCTCAGTTTAAAGTCTGGGTTCCCAGCATTATTCTGAAACTACTTCTAGAACACAGAGGGGGAGTGTTTCCTTTCCACACTCTCCCTGCCAAGCCTTGTGATTCCCGTGACGTGGGGCTACTTGGATAATAGCTGAGATTTTTCTGACCATTGGCCTCCTAGGATTGGAGAAGTCTCTTCAGGGTGAAGTTGAGGGAGAAACTTGGAAACCCACATACCTGATGATCATGGGTCCAGCGGAATTGGCTTTTGCGTCTTTTATTTTGTCACGTGTGCCTGGGTGGCCTTTACCAGCTTAGAGTTCATCACTGGCCCCCAGTAAATCTCTATTTTTTAGTAATGCATAGTTATGACTTCCCTTGTTTGATTTCTTTCATTGTCCATTCCCTGGGTCCTCTGCTTTCCTTACCAGAAGGAATGTCTAGTCTGGACTCTGCACACCTAGGTGAGGACCTCTCTGGGAGTGTGACCAACTTGCCCTCATCTCCTGGGAGGCTGCTCTGGTTTCCACCCAAGAGTGTGGGTCTTGGGAATCAACCAATCTAGTTGTCCCATTGGCCTGTTATCTTCTGGGATCCCAAACTTCTCACGAATGTTTTGGGGGATCCTGGACAAAAGCCCCCCCCCATTTGAGAGCGTCACCAAGTCTTCTCTACTCTCTGGGGCCACCCTTGACCCCAGAGCTCTAGCTAACATCTTGAGGTCAGGTGATCCCATCAGGCTCCATATTTGTCATCTGTGCCTAAAGTGTCAGTTCCTCCCTTTCGTCCTCAGAATGATCCACTGCCTCCCTTGTAACCTGACCAACAGCTCTGCCAATGTGCCAAAAACTTTGTCCAAAAACTCTGCAAAGGTGCCGCCTCTGTGCGGAATACTGGCACCTGGCACTTGGCTCTTCATTGAGGACACCTGCTTCTTCAGAACTTTCACAGGGAGACTGACAGTTCTTCTAAGCTCACGTAAGGATGGTACCAGCCCTCTGCCAGGGACCTAACTGTGCCAGTTCAAATGGTCTCTCTTCTATCCTCATATGAAACCTTCCCCCAAACCTCTTCCCTTCTTTGTCACTGTCACCTGCCACACCGCTGGTCATTCCCCCACATTCAAGGTCTTCTTTTCTGTCCCCTCTTCCTCAGATTCGGTGTCTTCGAAGTCCACTTTCACAGACCATCTAAACCACTTGTTTTACAGATTCTTCATTTACTCAATTCCAGGTGTCTTTCCACTTCCCCCATTAAAACCCTCTCTTAGTTACACCCTGGACACTGTCATCCCCCATAATTCCTCCATTTTTTGGCCGCCCTCTGTGGCATGCGGGATCCTAGCTCCCCGACCGGGGATCGAACCTGTGCCCCCGCGCAGTGGAAGGGCGGAGTCTTAACCGCCGGACCGCCAGGGAATTCCCAATTTCTTCATTTTTGATGTCTGACTCTCTGGTCATTGCTTCCCATCTGTTCACTTCTCTTTTTCCTCCACCCCTGATTGCTAGATGGCATCGTATTTTCTCCAGTGTGTCCCCCCTCCTCCTGTCTTCACATCCTTCCAGATAACCAAGGCATCAGCCTCTTTTTCTTTTTGCCCATCCCCCCTTCCTACTCGGCAGAGTCCAGGCCTGGATGAGTTCAGCTGTCTTGTTCCTCTGTTGCACCTGGAGGTCTGAGCACAGCCAGGAAAATGGTACCTCTCAGCTCTGGCGCATCCACGGCCTCTTCTCCAACCTCAGCTGGCCTTGGGGTGCAGCCCAGGCGTGCTCCCTGTGCTTCTCCCTTTGCCCAGTGGTTATTTCAGGTCCTCACTCCTGTCCTCGAGCGAGTCCTCTGCTTTCAGCAGAACCTCATCTCCTGCTTCACCCAGAGGCCAGGAGATGGGGTTCCTCAATTTCCTCTTCCCGCGTTCACACATGTTGTGTCTGTGCTCATCCTTCCCGCTTCCGCCTCACACCAGTGGAACGAGAGCCCCTCTCCTCCAAAGCCAAATGCTCCCCCTGTGCTTTGGACCCCATCCCCTCCTAGGTCCTTGGGGCCCTGCTTCCCGTTTATTCCTTCTCACCTTGGATTATTCACATTTCTCCGTCTACTGGCTTCTTCAAAGCAGTTAATAGATGTGCTGGGGAAACTCTGATCATAATCTTCAAGGCTGAGTTGTTTTTTTTGTTTTTTTTTTGCGGTACGCGGGCATCTCACTGTTGTGGCCTCTCCTGTGGAGGAGCACAGGCTCCGGACGCGCAGGCTCAGCGGCCATGGCCCACGGGCCCAGCCGCGCCGCGGCATGTGGGATCTTCCTGGACCGGGGCATGAACCCGTGTCCCCTGCATCGGCAGGTGGACTCTCAACCACTGCGCCACCAGGGAAGCCCAAGGCTGAGTATTTTTAAAAAAGGCTTTGTCTCCCACAGTTATTATCTGCCTTCCTTTACTTTCCATTTCTTCCTGAACCCACTGCAGCCTGGCTTCCTGAGTCCATGAATGTGGCCCTTCCCACGGTTGACTCTTGGGGGGACTTTTCAGCCCTCGTGTGATTTGGCTTCTCTGCCTCAGTTGGCATCACAGCCCATGATTTCCGGGCACCACATCCTTTGCGATGATCCTCTAATGAGGTTTCTCCCCTGGCCCCGTTTCTCTCCTGCCCCTGGCATTTCCTGGAGCTGGTTTTGTTCATTCGGGTCACTCTCAGTTTGTCCTCATCTCTCTCTGCACACCCTCCCCCATGAGCTCGGCCAGGCCCTTCGTTTAATCACTGCCGTGAGGCTGATGTCCTTAAACCTGTATCCCTTGACCTTGGTCCGCATACCCTCAGCCCCGCATACCCTCTTGGACATTCTGCAGGCCCATCAAACTTGGCGTGTCCAAAAGGAAGCTCTTTCTCTTTCCCTTCTCTCCACCCCGACACCTGTTCCTGCTCAGCGCTGCCCTCCTTCCACCCCTGAGGATAACATTGACTTCTAGTCACTTCCTGAGTATCTACCGCATCGGAGACGTTAGTCAGGTCCCTTCAGTCACGGGTCCCCGGGTGGTCCATGCTCTTCTGTGCCTCTCTGAGTTTTGAAACATTCTCTCTAAAATACCTGAAACCTGCCAACTCGTATTCATCGTTCAACACCCACTTTGGAAATCACCCCTTCTGTGAAGTCTTCCCTGAAAGCCTCAGAGTCAGCTGGCTGCCTGTCGGAGTCTGTCCTATTATCCTTGAGTCTCCCATCATCACACTCCCCTCATGGCCCTATAATTGCCTTTTCACTTGTCTGCCTCCAGCATCAGATCATGAGGCTCTGGAGGGCGGGAGCTTCGTTCCTTTATTCATCTTTCTATCCCCCAAACCTAGCACAGGTCCTGGGACCTAGTAGGTGGTCAGTTAATGTGTATTGAATGAATGAATGAATAAGTGAATGAATTCGCTTAGATCAGAGCAGAAGAGACATGAAACTGTGTATCTCGAGTTTTTATGTTATTGCAGTCCACAGAGGCCATTAAATTTTCTGTATTTCCAAGCAAATGAGTGTGGCTTCTTTCCTTCCAACAGTCTATTCATAGAACCCTTTGTCATGATGGAAATGTGTTCTATCTGTGGCCAATACAGTAGCCACTAGCATCATGTGACAATGGAGAACTTGAAATGTTTCTAATATGAATGAAAAACTGAACTTTTAATTATTTCATTTCAATTATAATAGCTAATGTGGTTAGTGGTTACTGTATTAGACAGTGCAGTTTTAGAGAATACTTCAGTGTAGTTCTCAAAATTATGGACACTGACACAAATTAAGTTCATATCAGCTCTCCTGATATTAGCTAGATGACCTTGGACTGGTTATCTCATCCATGCCTCAGTTTCCTTATTTCTGCTTATCACATAGTGTTGCTATAAGAATTACATTTTTGAGCTTCCCTGGTGGTACAGTGGTTAAGAATCCACCTGCCAATTCAGGCAACACGGGTTTAAGCCTTTGTCCAGGAAGATCCCACATGCCGCGGAGCAACTAAGCCCGTGTGCCACAGCTACTGATCCTGTGCTCTAGAGCCCGCGAGCCACAACTACTGAGCTCACGTTCCACAACTACTGAAGCCTGCGCGCCTAGAGCCTGTGCTCTGCAACAAGAGAAGCCACTGCAGTGAGAAGCCCACGCACCACAATGAAGAGTAGCCCCTGCTCACCGCAACTGGAGAAAGCCCACACGCAGCAACAAAAACCCAACGCAGCCGACAATAAAAAATAAATTAATTAATTTTTAATAAAGAATTACGTTTTTAAAATGTAAGGCTCTTAGAACAGTGCCTGGCCCATCGTCAGTGGTCCATGAGCATTCCAACCATGCTTCTATCAGGGTGTGCCTTCTCCTACCAAGAAAGTGGAGGTGAAGGGTAGAGACAAGCAGTGGTATGCTGGACCAGCTTGAAATAGCCAACCGCATACACTTCTTCCCACCTCTGCATCTATCAGCATCATGTTGATAGCCCTCCATTAGCCACAGTGGGAATATTTACATCATGGTAATCAGTTTAACTCTAGAAGAACACATTAATTTGTAGTGTTGTCAATCTATAAATATGGGGTTTGCTACATAACTGTAGCAGAACAGATACTTAGAAAGACCATTAAAGAAATCTTTACTTCAGCTGGGGTGAGCTCTGCATTCGGAAACCTCTATCCCGCAGGGCCTCACAAACAAGTCTAAGACTCTGATTACTACCCCTCCGACTAACCCACTTGTTCACTGCCTCACCTGTGTATTGACAGACATGTGTCTTAAAGGCCAGATATAACCACTGCTTGGGAAGATTGATCAGGGCTTACTTCTCAAGGATGCAGAAGGGAATCTGTATGGAGGCCCTTGGGGAAGAATCTGTTTCTTGTCTTTTCCAGATTCTAAAAGCTTCTTCTAGAATGCCCACACTCCTTGGTTTGTGGCCCCCAGTCAACAACACACCACTCCTTCTCTGACCCTCCTGCCTTCCTATTTACTGACAAGAATACTTGTGATTCCGCTGGGTCCACTGGGATAATCCAGGATAATCTTCCCTTTTCAAGGTCTTCGCCTTAATCACATCCGCAAAATCCCTTTTGCCACATGTCACTGGTCTGGGGGTAGCATGGGGACATCTCTGGAGGCCATCATTCTGCCTAGCACAGCAGTCTTGTTACCAAGACCTCAGACCAGTCATGCAGACACAGCAGCAAGTCTCTGAGCAGAAGGCTTGGGACTCGCATCCTGATCTCCAGGCACGAGGAGAATGAAGCTTCCTTCCCATCCATCACATTGACAGCCATGTCCAACTTACCGTCTTTCCCTTCCTCATTCACCCAGCTTGAACCTATGATGGTGCAGCATTTCCCGACCCACAATGGTTTGCTGGTAAACATTCGGCAACTAAGTTAAGAAGAACCCTGATTGGTAACGTTCGCTGATTTTTCTCAGTGTAACTATTCTCACCATGGCCAGTGTCAAGCTCCCAAGCTGTATGTTGAGTCAGGAGCTGGTCCTAGCTGCCTCCAGTACCCCATGCCACCCATGCCAGGCAGTCGGCCCCTTGCTGGGGCCCTTCTGAACTGGAGAAGGAGTCCCTGCCCTTCTCTGGGAATAAAACCTCTTGTTCTATGACCCTAGAGATGCTGGTAGTCAGACTCACTGCTGCCTGGAAAGTTCTGGGAGAACACACCTGGCATCTAGGGAGAAAAAGGAGTTGACAAGGAGAGAGAGTATTGATGACGTTCTTGTAAGGCTTTGGATCCACTCCTGCTTGACAGTTACATGAGTCTGTGAACTACCCCGTCCCACCTTTAATTTTGGCCTAAGCCAGTTTATGTGGGTTTCTTTTTTTTTTTTTAATTTTAATTAATTTATTTATTGGCTGTGTTGGGTCTTCACTGCTGCACGCAGTCTTTCTCTACTTGCGGCAAGAGGGAGCTACTCTTCGTTGCGGTGCGCGGGCTTCTCATTGTGGTGGCTTCTCTTGTTGTGGAGCTCAGCCTCTAGGTGCGTGGGCTTCAGTAGTTGTGGCATGTGGGCTCAGTAGTTGTGGCTCACAGGCTTTAGAGCGCAGGCTTACTAGTTGTGGCTCACGGGCTTAGTTGCTCCACGGCATGTGGGATCTTCCCGGACAAGGGCTTGAACCTGTGTCTCCTGCCTTGACAGGCGGATCCTTAACCACAGCGCCACCAGGGAAGTCCTAAGTGGGCTCCTTTGATTCGCAGCTAAAGGAATTCCCATTGTGCTAGTTTGTCTCCATCTTCCCTTCCCTACGTTCCTTCTCCACCCTTCTCTGCCCGGCTCTGCGCCCAGGAGGGCTGACTTCTGCTTTCTTGTTCAGCCAGTGGGAGGCACTGGCAGGAGATGGGATGGTAGAAGGAGAGAGAGGTGGGTGTTATTCCCCACCATGTTCCCTCTTCCCTGGCCCCTCCCTGCCTAACCAGCGCCTGTTGGGTGGTTCTCGAAGGGTCCCAGCTCTCACTGAGCTCCAGTAATGCTGTCCTCCAGGTTGCCGCTTCAGGCGCATGGGTGGTAATGGTTTTCTGTGGTTGCGGGTCCCTGGGTGCCTCACCTACCCCGTAGGCTCCCCTTATTCAAACCACACCTTTGTATATGGTGCTTTCATTAAATTCTCATCAAGAAAACCCTTTTGAGTGAGGCTTATTTCCTGCTGATACATCCCTGACATGTATCTTTCTTTTCTAAAAAAATTCAAGTATAGTCGATGTAAAATATTATATAAGTACAGGTGTACAATATAGGGATTCACTAGATAGGGAGTAAGTTTTAAAAGTTATACTCCATTTATAGTAATTGCAAAATTCTGACTGTATTCTCCATGTTGTGCAATATATCCTATTTTATACATAATAGTTTGTACCTTTGCCTTCCCCACTCCTATATTGTCCCTCCCCTCTGCCTCATCCCCACTGGTAATCACGAGTTTCTTCTCTCTGTGAGTCTGCTTCTTTTCTGTTACACTCACTAGCTTGTTGTGTTTTGTAGATTCCACATAGAAGTGATGTCATACAGCATTTCCCTGACATATATCTTTCCAATTTACTTCTCACACCTAGTCACTAGATCCCATTGACTCTAATTCCTAAATGTTCGTGAACCTTTCCACTCTGCTCCATCCTCACAGGCACTGCCTTGGTTCAGGTCCCCAACCTCTCTTGCCTGGACCATCGCCGCTGTCTCTTCATGGTCTGTCTGCAGCCG